ACTATAATTGTCCAACACCTCTCCACTCCAACCACAAGGGGGCTCCCAGTACTTTCATAAATCCTGGTTATGCAGCTCCAAAGAGTAGAAAGACTGTGAGGCAGAAATCACTGCGCAACACATTTATTAAGTTCAAAACAAGGGCTTGGAGACCTCATTTCTCGATGAAATGCGTAGAGTTGGGGTTAGCGGGCACAAACATTAATTACAGTGATGTCAAATTATATCAGTGCAGTGCACACCGGTTCCGGGTATACGGAATGGTGGCGGCTCTGGAACTCTTTTTCAAACGCTGGATAAACTGAGTGCTGGATGGCACAGAGTTATGTAAATAGCTATAATTGTTTTTTAACTCCAAGAAAGGAATGTCCACACAATAATTGGTGTTGTTGCACTTTACTGTAGTTCGGAAACGGCATTACAGTCACATCACGAGGACGTGTAGTACAGTGCAAACTAGTATATACCAAATATTGCACTGCGCTTATGTGTACAAAAATCATGTACTGCAGACCTACTATGTGATATTTACATAGAGCACAGCACATTGTTATTTCAATGTATTTAAACAAATACATATAAAGAAAATGGTGATCAAACAAATAAAGGATAATAGTCCCAATGTGAAAAGAAATATACAAAATAAAAATACAAGTGTCCAAAATCTCAGAATAAAATAAACTGTTTCCAAGGGTGAGCTGGGAAGATGTGAGGGGCCTCCACCAGACAACACCATACACGCTTACCGAATAACTATGATCCTCTAATCACGGAAGGTTATGGTGCCCTTTGGTACAAATATCCCATGGAAGTCTCCTCCAAAATAACTCTGGTATGTGACATCTGGGACAAGGAATGTCTCCATATAAGCAGGCTCATATACAGTCATCCATTCATCAGATATACAAGAGAAATGGAATCCAGCATAGTGTGAAATCCTTTATAAAATGTATTTAAAATGGTAAAAACGCTCACATGTATAATGCGGCATTAGCGCATGTAACCACTCAATCCAACCAGCAGATAAGATGGCCTCCGGCGAACTTCCGGTATGCAATGATGTCACAGCAGGCTCCGCCCTACGCATTTCGTCACAATTGACGTCGTCTGGGGCACAGTACTATGCAAACGTTTTAGGTGTGAAGAAATGCTGTAAAGTAAGCATGCTTTCAAACATATATATTTTTATTGTTTATTTTTATAAATTTACAAAATGCCAGGTGAGCAAAACAGAAGAAAAATCAAAGTCATATCAATATTTGGTGTGTCTACCCTTTCACTTCAAAGCAACATCAATTCTAGGTATATTTGCAAACAATTTTTGAAGGAACTCGGCAGGTAGTTTGTTCCATGCATCTTGGAGAACCAACCAAAAATCTGTGGATGTAGGCCTCCTCAAATATAGTCTCCTTATGTAATCCCAGACAGACTTGATGTTGAGATCAGGGCTGTGTAGAGCCAAACTGTCACAGGTCATACACCGTGGCAGGACTGAGCATAGCAACAAGGCACAAGCTAGTTATACTGTGTCAGCAAGGTCTCACCAAGGGAAAGATTTTGAAGCAGACTGGGGTGTCAAGATGTGCTGTTCAAGCTCTTTTGAAGAAGCACAAAGAAATGGGGCAATATTGAGGACCATAGACACAGTGGTCAGCCAAGGAAACAACCCCTTCACACCTAAGGGTAAAACAAATCCCAATCACCAAAAAGAACAACCCAAAATAAATTCTCCTGCTGCTGACGATTGCAGCGATGCCACATACAGTATGTGTATGTTATTTGTTGTTTGTACCCGTAGTACAGCCCAGAAACAATAGTGTGCATTTTGCAATTTTTTTTGTCCTACCTAAAACACACTGATACTAATGTAAAAAAAAAAAAAAATTCTGCCCAAAATAAATGGACCCTGACCTTTGACCCTTACGTGACTCAAACACTGACTTAGATCAAACATTGATCTAGGTATTTTCTCTTTGTTTTCTTTTCTTTTTAATATTTGTTTTACAAACTGTTGTGGGTTCTCTCTCTCAATCGAGAGACATTGCATCTCTCTTCTCCATTCAGAGAGAGGAAAAAAACAGGGGCTTGCTTCACAGTGACTTATCACAGCGATCAGGTGACCTGGAATTGGGAGTTACGGGTCCAAATCGTTCGTGCGGGACCTGGGGCTCACAGTGAGACCCTGGTTTCTTTGCTGGGAGCGCGCTGTGCAGGGCGCTTCCAGCACAAATGGAGATATACAAATATGCAGCCCCACGGCATCAAACCCAGTGCAGTGAGGCTGCAAATTTTGTGTTGGGTCGGTGTCAAAGGATCAATGCAGCAGATGATAGACACATCATGCTTACTTCCCTTCAATATCAGAAGATGTCCAGCAGTGCCATCTGCACAGAACTGGCGGAACCAGTGGGACCTAGGTACACCCTTCTACTGTCTGGAGCAGTCTTGCCAGAAGTGGTCTTCATGGAAGAATTGCGTCTAAAAAGACAAACTTCTGACATGGAAACAAGGTTAAGTGACATAACTACGCAGGAAAACAGGAACAGGGGTGCAGAAAAATGGCAGCAGACACTTTGGACGGATGAGTCATAATTTGAATTATTTTGCTGTAGTAGGAGGCAGTTTGTTGGCTGGGCTGGAGAGCGGTACAATAATGAGCGTCTGCAGGCAGCAGTGAAGCATGGTGGAGGTTCCTTGCAAGTTTGGAGCTGCATTTCTGCAAATGGAGTTGAGGATTTGGTCAGGATCAACGGTATCCTCAATGTTGGGAAATATAGGTAGATATTTATCCATCATACCATCCTATCAGAGAGGTGTGTGATTGGCCCCAAATTTATTCTGCAGCAGGACAATAACCCCAAACATACAGCCAATGTCATTAGGAACTGTCTTCGGCATGAAGAGCAAGTAGTCCTGGAAGTGATGGTTTGGCCGCCACAGAGCCCTGATCGCAATATTATGGAGTCTGTCTGGGATTACATGAAGAGACAGAAGGATTTGAGGCAGCATACATCCACAGGTCTGTGGTTAGTTCTCCAAGATGTTCCCTCAAAAACTTCCTTCAAAAATTGTGCAAGTATACCTAGAAGAGCTGATGCTATTTTGAAGGCAGAGGGTGATCACACCAAATATTGATTTGATTTGTATTCCTCTTCTGTTCATTTACTTTCCATTTCTATTCATTTACGTTCCATTTTGTTAATTGATAAAAATAAACTATTAACACTTCTCCTGTATTTCCAAAAGCATTCACTGTAGAAGTGGAAAGAAGTTTCTTTATCCTATATGCTCAGTGATGTCTAAAAAATAATCCCTCTTTCACAGTACATTGTACCTGTATCCCCTGTCCCTGTTCCAGAATACATCCATCCTTAACATGTATCCCTCTGCCAGAATATGTCTCTGTGCCTGTAATCCTCTATCATAATACCAGATACCCTTCTTTTGTACCTGTGTCCCTTTTCCACAATACATTTTTCTGTGACAGTATACCTCTGCCAATATACAGCTTTTTTTGTGTTCATCTTTCTGTGCAGGATTATTATTCTCTTGTACATGTACATTATGCATAAATCTCTCTGCCAGGATACACTTGAGCCCTTTTTCTTCAGCCAGAATAAAGCTTTCCTGGTCCTGTATTGCTCTGTACAAAAAAGTGTCAGCCACCCCAACCTATAACTAGCATTTGCAGTAAGGTGTACATGGAAGGGCAACACACATCACACAGATTTCCCAGAACACTTGCCAGCTAGCCTAAAAAAAGATTGACCCTGTCTAACAATTCACATTAAAAACAGAGGGTTTTGTTTGCACACATTTGCAAATATATGTGTAAGCTGCAGTGCCTACGTCAAGGTTCCTCTGTCTACTACGGTCCTAACTATAATTTTCAGAGTCTCCAAAGCACATATAGCAGTGGATAGATTAGGGGCAGGTTAGCTTGGAGGGAGCCTTCCTTTAAAGGCACAGGGATGCCCAGCAAGAGCACAAAGGCAGCTGAAGGCATCCAGTGCGTCCGCACTTCCAGTTAATCAGCTATACAAAAAAGTGGCAACAGTCCTAACCTATGACTAGCTTTTGCAGTAAGGTGCAAATGGAAAGCGTCTGTATTCCTCTGCCAGAATACAATGCTTCTGTTCACGTTTTTTCCTTCTGCCAGAATACCATACGGTTTTACCAATATACCTAGGCCAAAATGCATGTTTCCTGTTTCCCCTCCCTCTGCCAGTAAATATCCCCCCATGCCTTATCCCTCTGCTAGAATGTACTGCTGCTGTGCCATCATTCTTCCGCTAAAATCTATTTCGCCTGTGCCCCAACTTTCTGCTTCTCTCCTGTGCCCTGTCTAAACAGAATACATGTCCCTTGTGCCCCAATGGTCTGCCAGAATCCATCTTTCCTCTTCAATAATACAGTGTACTTCCAGAATCTATCTCTTCTCTGCCACAATACAGTGTACCTCTACCTTCCAGACGCATATCTTCTGTTATCCATCCCTCTGCTGGAATACATCTATTTCCTTATACAGTGTACATACAGTATATCCACATCCCTCTTTCAGAACACATCTCTCCTCTGCCCCAATACTGTCTGCCTGTGCTTGCATCTTTCCTCCAGAAAGGCATCTCTTCTTTTCCTTTTTCATTATGCAATGTACCCGTACCCCCATCCCTCTGACAGAATACATCTCCCCTTTGCCCCATCCTTCTGTCACAATGTATCTCCATCCTCCTCCTGCCAGAGTACATCTGCCACAATGCCCTAGTACCTCTGCCAGAATGCATCTCTCCTGTGCCCTTCTCCCTCTGCCAAAATCCATATCTCCTGTGCCTCATATGCTTGCACCAGAATCCATCTCCTTTACCCTTATTCTGCTGTCAGTTTTTTAGGTCCTTTCACAATACAATGAAACTTCTATAATTTCTACAGTTATCACCCTCTTTGATTGGTTTGATGCTTTGACGTTGACAAATTTTGTAATTGTGCTTGTGTCTTCTCAGATCCACCACTGTCCATTACTCATTGTCGTAAAAGTATGGAGTCACCGTAAGTGTTATTGTATCTTACTGCTGCGTATAGCGCACAGTGCATATCAAGACAGAATTTATAGATGGAACTATATACACAATACTTATACACTAAGTTTTATAGACCTGTCTACACAAGACGTATAGACATAGCACAACTATGCATGATACAGATAAAACAATATGTACAAAACACATAAGAAATAAGGTATACATATTATATATTCTCCTTTATTTACTACTACTGTACACATAATACATGTAGATCTAGCTATATACACAACACCCAACATGTCTTCTTTTATTTTGCATAGACCTTACAACATGTTACAAACTTAGCATCTGAAATTTGTCACATGCAGTATTGTTACCAAAATAAGTGCATAGATCATTCATTGATCTATGTTTAGCTTTACCTGCCTCATTTTAACATCCTCCTCCCTCATCATAGGTTATCCTCTGGAAAAATTAGTCCAGAGAGCGTTCGGACTCTCCATGCCCCTTCAGAATCTTCTGAGGATCAGGGTCTACCATCCAAGAGGCCGCTTAGTCCTGGCCGTGAGAAAGAGCTGTCCTTGTATAAGAAGACCAAGCGTGCCATGACCAGCAAGAAGTACAGTGTAAGCCAGGCAGAAGCAGAGGTCACTACACCCATTGAACTGATCAGTCGAGGTCCAGATGGGCGTTTTGTCACAGGGAGTCCAGACCAGGAGCCAGCTCTGCGCAGTCGCCGGATACAAGGTTTTCCATTTGCAGAAGAAACTGACATGTACCCAGAGTTCCGCCAGTCTGATGAAGAAAATGATGAGCCGACTGGATTAAAGGCCCAGCTCACTCCACTGTCATCCAGCCAAGATTCTCCCCTACAGCCTCCGGCCTACAGTCCCAGATTCCAGCATCAGCCCCCTGAGGGAAGGCAGCAGGCTTCTGGTCAGTCCCGACCTGGTGGATACCATCATGGTCATATATATGGATATCTTAGCAGCAGTCCTCGTGATTCTGATCCTCCTCCACCCTTCTATATGCCAGAAGTCAGTCCTCTTAGTTCAGTCATGTCCTCTCCACCTTTACATCCTGAAGGATCTTTTCCACCCATTCCAGAAGAGAATGGAGAGAACAGCTCTACCAGTACCTTGCCTCTCACTCATACACCCACTGGGGGGCGCTCTCCAGAGCAGTGGGGAGCACCAGAGTTCCCCTTTGGAGGCTTGGATGCTCCCCCATCTCCTTCTATGTTTATCCAACACCGCTATGAACCTGGGGAGATGAGGCGTCCTTTGCCTCCACCGCCACCAGATCCATTTCCACGAGGACGCCCACCTCCTAGCTCCTTGCAAGTTCCACCATATGCTGCCATCTTGCCTCTGGAACCCCATCCAGGTTGGTCAGGTCGGCTACCTGGACGCGGCCCTCATCCTCCCCACCCAACTTCTTGGCAGGATGCAGCTATGCAACTGGCTGCTCAGGGTCAGCTCCGGCACACTAGCCAAGGGATGGGAATTCCGGTGCTTCCATACCCAGACATCCCCGATCCAGGGTCCTTCGGGATGGATGCTCGTTGGTTTGAGAGCCGGACTCGTCCACAAATGAGCCCCAGGCAGCATCGTAGACTAGAGCCAAGTATACATCAGGTGGTGCTGCAGCCCTCTCGTCTTTCCCCACTAACACAGAGTCCACTAAGTTCAAGACATGGCTCACCTGAACTAAGTGCTAGAGCCAGGCCTCGGCCTGGCCTGCTTCCCCCACCTTCAGACTGCTCTGGCATTGCTCTACAGCCTCCAGTCTTTTTACACAAATCACCTCCTTCCTCTGGATCCCCAGCAAAGAGCAGCCATGATAGTCCAAGCTATCGGCCTACCCCACCTGATGCTTCCCCCCATGCAGAAGGACGCAGAAGAAGAGGAGAAGAGCGTGTACATGCAGAGACAGCGGTGCTGTGCACTGCAGGGTGAGTCCAATGCTACTAGTGTGAGAATTAATGCAGTATTAGGGAGCTTCGAATGGACAGTGTACAGATCATATGAGAAAGAGGAATCACAGTATAAACACAGTTTATGCATTTTCATTAACATTAAAGGAAAAATGATGATCTGTGGAAGCATTGGGTTTCAATGCTTTCAGAGCAAACTAGGTTCCTTATCTGAAACTTTGCACTGAAGGACTGCATGCAGTGAAAAGTATATAAGCGCTTGTTACCATACCCTACAAAACTTGCTAGAAAGATTCTGTCAGCTCAGACCAAGCATCAAACCTAAAGTGGAACTCCAGCCAATTGTTGGAGTATCTGGAGGGAAAATGCAATCTCTGTCCCCTGCTGGTGACATTTTCTTTGGCTTTCTGTCTAAAATTAAAAACAAAGTGTTTTGTCTGAAGATCCACTTTAGCGGTGTCATGCCAATGTGACATTATCTGTTAAAAGATTTTTTTTTTTTTTTTTGGTTGTGCTGACAGAACAAGGCTTGTTAACAAGAGGAGTTCCTGTTTAAAGCAGAATTGGAATCAGTAAATGTGCCCAGCATCCCTGTGTTTGGGAAGTAAACAGCGCTAGTTCCCAGGGACACTTTAAAGAGAATCTCTGCCTTCCTTTGCTTGGTGAAATTTCCTCCATGATGTGTGTATTAGGGACCAGTGGGGTAACGTTGCTTAACTCCCAAGGATTGCATCCCCAGCACTGCGGCACACTGAAAATAGGGGTTTTCACCTAACAAACAAAGCCAGAAGAAACGTTTTACATATAGTATTTATATTCTTCTAATCGTGTTATAAAGATTCTTTATTTTATGTTGGTAAAACATTGCCACCATACTGAGTCATCTGCTGTGAGCAAGAAGATCCAAGGACTAATATTACCTCTAGTGACAAGCAAAACACACTTTATTAATGGGGTTTCTTGATTTGTTAGATGGCCATTCATGTTTTGCAACCTATTACTACCCAGGGGCCTACAAAATGGACCAGTAATTACCAAGGGGCCGCCTGTGCTATTACACACTGGTATACTCCACAATGCAGAACAGAGATGGCTTGCTTAGATTTGGATTACCCCAGTAGAGTAAAAACTATGGTAGATGTAGTTACTAAAAGCACACACATTTACTTTTGAGAAGTAACATCACCTGTCACATAATCACTCAGATCTGTTCTTGGTACCTCTGGAGAATATTACACTTAGTAGTAAGTTCTTGTGCTATACTAAACACATTGTGCCAAATTCTACTTTCTGAACCTGCAACATTCTTTGCTCTGTCTTTAGATGATCACAGAGCTAAGATTGGCCTTACATGGCCTGGTTATCATAAACCAGCAGAGTGCATAAGTAACGCTGTGTTCTGTTGTAGATGTGAGATGCACTCTGTATGAACATTGCACAGACAGCCTTATCACTCATGTTGTGTGTCAATAAATGGCAATAAACCCTAACATTGTTGCTGTAACCTTTGCATTGTGTCACATGAAATAAAATGTATTGTGCTCTCTGCAATTCTTCTCATTGTTCTTTATATTCCTAGCGCTTAAGACTTTAGGAGGACATCCTAAATGTTACACACTTTGTATGCACAACGCACACACTTCAGAGTGGAGTGAGAACATGGAGACTGTATACTTCTGTGTTGTGTTCAATGTCTGTCTGTCTCTTACTGCCCCTGGACAGCATTTTCCCACAATGCATTAATTCGAATAGAACTAGGTCTGTTAGAAAAGCACTGTTTATACTCCATATAAATAGTGATTTTTTTTTTTTTTTTTCGGGGGGGGGGGGGGGGGGGTTGGGTTGGGTTGGGAGAATCATCACACAATGCACAAAGCATAGATATTGAAGAAAAGTTCACCTGATATCTCCAAACCATAACCAATTGGTGAAGTCAAGCTACATAAAATGAAGGAAGCCTTATCAGGTTTTTACCAGAAAGAAGGAATTAAATGTTTCTGTTATTCTGTCTTGCATGTCTTATCCCACCAGTTTCTCAGTAAAGTGGCAATGAATATTACTGATGTAATCCCTCTTTGTCTTGTCATTGTGTTTTTTTATTTTTCTTCTTTTTTAACTAAGCCTGATCAGATATCAACATGAAGATCTGATGCATAAATGAAAGATACATGTTGATATCTGCTCTACAAAAAGGAAAGAGATGGCAGCAGTTTAGGAAAGCTCCAGAGAACAGAGTACAAATGTCAGAATATTATGTGTATAAACCTGCTAGGATCTTGTTTTGAAGCCTCTCCAACATGTTAGAATCAAGCTGCACAGTAATATGGTATCTTCCATAGTGGCATGTACACCCCCAATTCAGCCTCCCCCCTCCCCTGCACTGCCCTGAGTAACTGTGTCTATTTCTGATTGATCTCAGCTATCTGAGCAGTGTTGACGTCATGAGCTCCTCCGTCCAATAGGTAAGGGTGATCCATGTCTGAAGGGGGAAGAGGGAAGTGTGGGGTGGGCTCCTGGTGGGTGGGCAAAACATGGGCCTTTCATTCCCTCTGTTTATTAATCCCAATGTCTGCTTTAAAGGGGAACAGAGCCCAGAATAAGACAAAGTGTTCATCAAACCTCAACCAATGGGTTTATCATTTCTCCTATTATATGAAGAACACTTCTTGTGTCGCTTCACTCCAAAGAACCACGGCTTCTCCCATCACACAGATCCCATTAATCCCACCAGTATTAGGCTTGCCACAGCTTCGCCCATCTCATAAGTCTGTGATGACAAGAGTGAGGTCTGGTTTCGGTCTTTTACACACACACACACACACACACACACACACACACGTTTCAGGCTCATTTTCTCTTAGCACTGAGCCCATAATAATTCACCCCTGAACAGTCAACATCTAAGAGGACAGACAGATGCTACACACTCCACATGGAAATCACAAACAGCCTAAAAGGAGCATGTATGACTATGTGATCGTGTATAACAGACTCACTGACCTTATTTAATGTCCAGGTTGTAGCATTCAATAAAGGGGTTCTCCTATCATTCCTGTGCTCTCTAATAGGCCTACATACCCTGGAAGTGTGCACTAAAGACAGAATAGAGAGGTGAGGCCTACTCCCAGATGTCCTGAGGTTCCCCTCAGGCAACCTTAACCTAGGTGTATCCAGTATAGACAGGAGAGGGAATGGAGGCTCACTCTTAGAATTCATAAGATTTTCACCAGACCACAATGTTTTGGGGATTCCCAATATAGACAGGATAGAATAGTGAGGCCTGTTGCTAGAATTCCAGAGGTGATCATTCAGCTCTCCATACCCTCGGCAGTGCCTAGTATATGCAGGATACAAAATGGTGAGGCTTGCTCCCAGAATTCCTGAGGTCTCCATCCGGCCACCATACAATGGAGGTGTGCAGTATAGACAGGATAGGGAGGTAAGGAATATTACCAGAATTCATGAGCTCTCCACCAGGCCACCATAACCTGGGAGTGTCCAGTATAGACAGGATGCAGAGGTGAGGCCTATTCCCTGAATACCTCAGATCTTTACCAGGCCACCATAGGAGTTTCCCTTACGGGAGAGATAGGGAGGTCAAACTAACTCCCAGAATTCCTGAAGTCTCCATCAAGCCACCATACACTGTGTGTCCAGTATAGACAAGAGAAGTAGGTGAGGCCTATTCTCAGAATTCCTATGGTATCCACCAGGTCTCCATACCCCAGAGGTTTTCAGTATAAAACCGGATGAGGAAGTGAGGTCAGCTTCCAGAATTCCTGAGTGTGAACCCATTGAGCCATCCATGTGGAGGTCTTGTGTGTAAATTAAGGGTTTGTGTTGATATCTACTCTACAAAAAAATAGATTTCGGCTTTTTTAGAAAGCTTTATAGAGTGGTGTATAAATGTCAGAAGAATAAATGCAGCATAGACAGGATTGGAAGTTGAGGCCTACTACTGGAAATTCTTGAGATTTTCACCAGGCCAGGATAGAAAGGAGAGAGAGAGGTCGGGTCTGCTCTCAGAATTCCTGAGGTATCCACCAAACTGCTATACTCTGGCAGTGCCCAGTATTGACAAAATAATCCTCATTCTAGAATTTCTGAGGTCTTCACATGGCCCATGAGTGTCCACTGTGGACAGAATAGGGTGGGGAGGCCCATACTCAGAATTTCTGAGGCATCCATCAGACTGCCATACCATTACAGTGCCCAGTGTAGTCAGGATAAAAATACAAGGCCTTCTCTCCAATTCTCTGAGGTCTCCACCAGGCCACGATACCATGGGAGTGATCAATATAGACAAGACGGGGATAAGGCCTATTCCCAGGGTTCCTAAGGTCTCTACCAGACCACCATACTCTGTGTGAGTCTAGTAAAGACAGGAGAGGGAGATGAAGCTTACTTTCAGAATCCTTCTCCAAGTTCTTCCTCAAGCCACAATACAATGAGAGTGATCTCCAATGGACCACAGTTTCATTGGAGTGGCCAATATTAACAGGCCACTATACTCTGGGAGTGCCCAGTATAGACAAGATAGCTAAGTGAGGCCTAATTCTAAACTTCCTGAGGTCTTTGGGTGTCCACTGTGCCCTGAGTGTGACCAGTATAGATAGATAGATTACAAAAGTTATGATTTTTCATTACTAGAATGGCAGGGAAAGGCAAAGAAATACTCATTTTGGAACTGGAAAAAGTGTTTATTTTTTATCAGACAAATCGGAAGGTATTATATGTAAGTTGTTTGACCTAAACCTGATTTCTACAGTCAGAAGAAAGAATTCAGCAATGTTTTGGAACTCCTTGTAGCTTGGATTCCATTTGATGGTAAACTCCAGAGGATTTCTTTTTAGTCCCAACTGGCATTCTAGCAAGGAAAACCTTTTCTTCAATTTATCTTAGTAAAGTAAAATATATAATCCCTACTACTGCACACAAGCAACAATTTCATATAGTGACATATCTCTTTTCATCTCTACAGTCACCTTTAGATGTATCATTGCCATTATAATAATAGAAAATTATTATACATTTTGCACAGATTTATAACACAATACATAAACAGTTATGGTCCATAGCAGTCTCATTAACTGTACCTCCTCAGATCAGCATCAGTTTGGGCAAAACAGCTGATCATTTTTTATATAGGATGTGTAAGAGAGCCTGGTACATAGCCGGCCTTGGGAATGGGTTTCTTCAAGGGTGCCAGGTTCCCCTTTAAAGGAGATCTCTGCAACTCCTGTGCATGACAAAGCTTTGTCCTAATGCTGTGACTGTAGCAACCTCTCCCTCCGTCTTCCTCCCTTCCTGTCATGGTGAGACCCTCATCCAATGAGCCATCCTGGCAATACTCACTGGTGCTTTTAAAGTGACATTTTCCTCCTTCACAGCCTGTAGTGAAGTTCCTCCTCACTGTGTCTGTTAGTGTGATCACTGCAGTTTTGTTTTTCAATAACAAATTTCTACAGTACGTCTTTCCTTCAGTGTCCCTGCTTGTCTCTTTGAGTGTATGTTGAGTTCTGCAATGTTCTTACATCCCTTTATGGCAACATGACAGCAATGATTGACAGCTGAGGAGGAAGTACTTGTTTCCTGCACAGAAAGTGGACACATATCTCCCACCTGCTGGTTGCCTGCCATTCTGTTGCCTAAATGGCTATTGAGTTGGTTGTCTTGTATATGTGTTTCCCCCCTGTTGTGGATGTCTGTCTTTATTCATGTAGCAAAGACATACAGGTACATAATATCCTGTCCTATCAGCAAACAAAACTTGAAGACCATCCCATCGTAGAGTAATCCCAGTGTAACCTGTTTGGTAGATGTATAACCCTTCTATGGCAGAATAATGAAATGTCTTTTCTAAACCCTAGAGGTGGTGCTATCTGCCAGGCATTTATGAATAATGCCTACCATTTCATCTCTGGAGAACTTTTCACCACCAATTCTGGGTTCTGCCATTTTGATTTTAGAAGGAAAGAAATGGGAGCACACGGAATGCGGGGAGTTGCTGGTTCATCATGCTTTAGTCTACCAAAATAACCAGTAACAATGAGATGGTGAGGTGTGCATTTTCATGGCCAGACCGGGTGTCCTGCTATACATTCAGTGAGCCCATTCTGTAAAAGGCAAAAGATTATACAAACGGAAGAAAAACCAGAGTATGAATGAGCCCATTCCAAGTGCAGACTCCAGAATATGTATAATGACAGCATTATAATGTGAATTTAGGTTTTTATTGAGTGCAGTTCATTTCAGCCAGAGCTGAAATAGGCGCCAAATGGTTTATTACATCCTGAAATTTATAGGACAAAGCAATTGCTGTTGGTTTTTGAGTCAGAATAAGGACTATTTCACGGCATGACTATATATATGCGTGTGTGTTTTTGGACATCAGCAAACATGCTCCCTTTATTATGTCCCCCTGCTTTACTCTCCACCATTGTCAAGGCTCTGGCTGGGAAGAATGCAGGATCTTCCACAGGATTCACTGTCATTGTAAGACAGTCTTCTGCTGAATTCATCTTCATAAACCACTAAAGAACATTAATTTCTGCCAGTCGTTCTCTGAATCCCCCCCCCCCCCAGTGTCCTGTCAGCCCATGCTACATCTGCAGAAAAAAAAACAGCAAGATAATTAAAGGACAAGTTCACCTTTGGGAACATGTTACATGTTCCACCCATTTATAGGGTGGAAGGTAACATGTTCCCATAGCCACAGCCGCCGCCCCCCCTCCCTCTGACAGTATGGGGAGAAGTCTCCCCGTACTACCTGTCAAATTAGAAAACAGTATAGCCGTGTGGGGCACCGCCCACACAGCTGCATCATTCATTCACTGACTTTCCAGTGAACTACCACAGCACTGTGGAGCATCGTGGCAGTTCATTGAAGCTTCCTGTCAGAATATCTGCTTGCCTGTACATCCCGTATGGCAAGCAGATATTCTGACAGGTCTGCAGGAGACCGGCATGGCATCAGTGATCTACTGATTGCTGGTGCAATGTTTTCCAGGCTCATGTAGACAAAAATAATAAATGCACATTTTTTTAACCTGCAAAAAAATGTGCATTTATTATTTTTGTCTAAAAGGTGAACTTCTTTAAAATTACAAGGGCAGGGATGAGGTGCTATATCCATAGCAAATCTGCTGAGTTTAATTACTGGGGCCAGACTGGAACATGGAGTTTCTCTTGGGTTTCTGTGGGTTCATGATGTATGAACAGTGTCCTAAATTAAAATTTTCTTGTTACCAGTAGCATGTTTAGCACACTTTTCATGCATTGGGTCCTTTGCTGCTTACACTGTTTTATTGCACACTGCCAACAATGAAGCTGCAGTGTAATGGTGTCGCTTTTATTAGTAGACTAATAATTAGTCAAGGAAGTTCACATTAATAACAGGAATCAATACATTCATATTAATAGCATGTCTTCATCATTTTAGGCAAACATTTCTATTACAACATACATTTTAGCTCATTAGTGAGGACCTGCACCTGACTGGCTAACGCAATCTGTTAGAAATAAATAAAACATTTGCAGTGATGTGTTCGGTATAATGATCTCTGGTGAGTCGTCCAGTCATCCAGTCAACAAAAGGCTCATCTACTCTGTCGTTTCACATATTCTCTGACCAGCACACCAAATTGGTGAAAAAAAGATTCCATTCACCATATAATTGTATGCAGTGTCTGTGCACCGTGTGTACTGTTTCATTACATAAGTGTACAAAGACTGGCCAAATAATAGTTTTTCATCTCAGCAAAAAATCCCAGTTGTCCGCCCTCCCCCCCCCATGGGAAGGCCCTTTCATACAGGCGTTCAATCAGGTCTGCCTGTCAGTTTTTTAGGCGGACCTGATCAGAAGATCCATTCATCCCTATGGTAGACAGGCAGGTGTAAGCAAATTTTTGTCTGTTTACACCTACCTACCTCCATATCCGATTGGGTCAGCTAAAAAACATCCTCTTCCATTTGGGCATGGCAGATCAGAGGTAGTCAGGTGTAAGTGGACAGCGAAGTCTTTTTACTCCTGGCCACTCATAGATCAGAGCAGGCTCTGTCTGTGTCCACTGTGCAGAAACTGAGCAGACATGGATGTGTCACCTGCTCACTCTTCTCCAATCAGTCAGGGATCCGGTGAGCTGATCCCCTTCTGATCGGACCAGAATCCGCCCCATGTGAAAGGGACCTAAAAGTTTAATTTTAGCATTGCTGAAATAGTGAAAAGTAAACAGATTTATATAGTTGGTCATTGTTTTTTTTTCAACAAACTACAACTAAAATCCACATGAACTATGAAGAAAAGTTTAAATAGTTTTAGCATTTTATAAATAGACCCCCATAGGCTCCCAGTGATAATTAATAAATGACAGTAATACACAGTGGTATGTAAGGAAGCATTGAATAAACTCAAGATGGACATCCAATGAAATCACAGCACAGCATAAATTGATGATGTGTGGGATGGCGCTGTGTGATTGGTTGCAGTGTGTAGGAAGATGCCTTCCCCCTTGGAGGTACAGTTCACCACACTTATGGTCTTATTAGAGTGCAGTAACTCACTGTGATTTTCTGGTCATATGTATAGTGGCAGTGCCTACTGTTGGGTAGATGGCCCTTGTGTTTGTAGGAACCTCTTAGCAGGATGTCATTTAGCTGACAAGGGCCTCCATCTGACCGACCACTCCCTGTGCGCTTCATATTAACATAAAGACATATGCTCAGATGGGATGAAGGTGTCTTGCAGAGGCTGTCCAACTCCCAGATTGCCATGGCAGTGATACGGTGACAGTGAAGGGGCAGATTGCTCCCACTATGGCTCTGATCGCTCTCTTCTTCCCCTTCAGGCTTGGGTTAGCTGCTGTACCTGAGAGGTCTGAAGTCATAGATGACCGCATCCACAAGCCCAAAAAATCTAGCAAGGGCAGATCAAAATCCAGGAAGCACTCTGGTAAGAACTGCTGACTTTGCTTCTGTCTATACAATGTACTGCACATAAAGAACAATGTTACTTGTGTGTTCTACTCCCTCAATCCATTTCAGGTCCTTTTCTGATCATCATGTGATGTATCCTGTCAACTCTTAATACCTCTTTCTCTGTTATATAGTTTAGAAATGAGTTGGTGTATTAATGCACACTTCTTCTCTCCACCAGATGGATCCACCTCGCAGGTCTACCAGCCGGCCACAGCCATGTATACTGACACTCGCTGCATTCGTAGGAAGAAGCGTCCAGCTCGACAAGACCCCCTGTCTCGCCTATCCGCTCTGAGGGATGAGCTTTGCCACCGTTCGCTGTCTGACGACCGGGCTGCCATACTGACCAGCACCGAGCCTGACGATTCCAGCGGCCATGCCACCCTTCTGTGACCATCCTTAGAGAGAGGCCTTTATTATGGGCCCTTTCTGTCTCTTGGTGCTGACACTACCCGCCCTCCCTCTTAAAAAAAAAATGTGAGCAGCAAGTTGTGCGTTCATTCCTACCTCACCAATCCTGTGTGTGCACGGAGGAGAGACTTAGCCTCACATGTTGGAGACATGTACAGTGTTAAGATGGCTGCTGGTGGGGACACACATGCTGGTCACAGCTTGGCACTTTGTATGACCATAGCACATGTGGCAGCTCTGAGAACAAAGCCACGTCTCACAGCCCAATCCACCCAATGGTGTTTTTATGTGAACCGTAGCAGAGAGTTGTGCTGTGAGTCTAGCCAAGCCGCTGCATGTTTACATAAACATGCCACGGCGTGTCTGTGTATACATGTGTTTGTACATGTACCCCCTAATGGGTGCGCCTTGACTACGCAGTACATAGAGAGAATATTTAGACATAAATGATATATTTTATTGTGTAGGGATTAGACTGATTAGATGTTTGTATTATTGGGGAAGGACATCACTAAAGCTGCTGAATGACATCCATCTAGTTTGTACTACCTATTCATGTGTTCAGTCATTATTGTTATTTATTTAATTTATTTGTCTTGTGGCCGGCTTCTCCTGAACCCTCGCTAGCAGTGCAGCCCATTCCCATTTCTGTCTCCACATTCGGAGGGGCCAGCCACGACAGAAGGGATCTTATCTGGGGTGTTCACTTGTTGTTTTGCTGGGTGGGGAAACTGGGATCAATTTTAAAGGAAACCTGTTATAAGAAAAACATTGTTCTGGAAATGCTGGTCATCTGGCTGTTTTCCGAAGTTTATTTCTTTCTGAATCACTAACCATAAAGAAGTCAGTACATCAGGAAAGTCAAAGAAAAGCCAGAAGCCCTCATCTGCATCCTTGTTCGAAGTATCAAAGCCAGAGGGTCAGCATGACAGCCAATTACACTTTTGAAAAGGAGAGGCCATCAATGGTGGGCTCCAGGTTTTTGTCATGACAGGCCACCTTTAAGCACATGAAGAAGTAGTACAAGCTGTTCGGTTACTTCTTTTGTTGCCATTTGTTTTTCTTGAAGGCTTTTTTATGATGTAATGGCGATAAAGCCCTCCTGGGTCGGCATTGTATGGTGGGGGGTCCCACAGATCGCATGTGATATTCTCCATAAGCTGCTATTGTGATAGCTCAGATGTTGAATGCGATGGTTGTGGCAGAGGGAATATTTGAGGTAATCGTGTAAGCAATAATTTCCAGAAACTGCTGCAGATGGTTTAGCTCTTTTGTCACATTTCCTCTCAGAATGTCTTGTATCACTGGGTCATCTTCTTCCAGGACTGCTGACATGGAACGCCTGACAGTCCCATTACCTAGGTGACTGCAGACACATAGGTTGTCACAAACCCATATTAGTGCCAACAATACAGAAGAGAAATAAAGTACCTCTCAGTGACGGGAAGGGGCCTATCTGTCATCCCCATCCACCACTCATGGTCATACTTGGCTGTTCCTGAGCAGAGTTGGCCTCTATAGGTAATTTATGTTGAAATCTACCTGTTGTCTGTAATTCCTGGAATGAACAGACCACATATTATGAATGCATTGGGTGTTCCATTGACAACACAGTACCACAGAACCTCAAATAGCTCCCATCCTACAAGATGGTGTGTCCATGGTGTGATGTAGCTAACACAGTCTGAAGTGTTCCCAGGTTTTATAGTATAAGGTCCTTTGTTTATTGGATGGCCTGTAGGCATGTGTTGTATTTGGACAGATTGATCCAGGCGTAGAAGCGGGCCATTTCCTGATCATTATTCTACCCCTGGCAGGAGTAATAACGAGGCAGTCTGAGGGGCAGTTATAACCTGAAACATGAGACTGTTAGTGGATTTTCTGTAAAATTTCCTTCAGCTGAGACTGATTTTGCATTTCTGTGATGAAAGTGAATGGCATTGGATCAAAAGGGCGGTCAGAACTACCTTAGATATGAGTGGCGGCTGTGATTGGCATTAAATCTGAGTAGAAGCTGCGATTGGCATTAGTTCTTAGTGGCGTCCGCAAATGGCATTAGATCTAAGTGGTGGCTGTGATTGGCATTAGATCTGAGTGGCAGCTGTGAAAAGACTACAGTTGTGCTCATAAGTTTACATACTCCTTGCAGAATTTGAAATGCAGAGTTTATTATAAAAAAAAGAAGATTGTGAATACCAGACACATTTGTTCACATGATTAAAATAAATTGTTAAGCATCATGGAATATCACTATCAGTACACAAACCACAGCATTACCAAAAAAGAATAAAATGGTCTTAAAGTAATACTAAACACATACCCCATAAAAACCTTTATATGTTCTGCCAAAGTATGCTATTCATGTTTTTCTAGTTTATTTGAAAAAATGAAACTGCTAAGTACCTGTATCAACAAACAGAAAATGCTATACCATAAGTCCTCAAAAACTATGTGCAGTCCAAACCCTATAAGTCCAATCTTTAAATCAAATTCTTCTCGTGTTCAAAGAACCTTTCAAAAAATTCCTCCGATAATGTACCTCAAAAAGAAAAAATATTCACATAGTGCATTATGTTTTTTTATAACTAAATAAATAATAATGACTTCATACAAGTGAATACCCAATCCCATAAATAATCCGTGAAAAAAGTGAACAAAGTGAAAAAAACTGTGAAGCCAAAAACAATAAAAACCCTTGTGAATGTGAATCACTCTTCAGTGCTCCATTCCAACCAGCACTGTGACACTTCTAAGTGCAGTAAGGAATGCATACCCTTACCAATATTCAGAAAAATAGACGCTTTTTTATATCTTTCCAAAAGGAAGGTGGGAGACAGTCCTCCTATTGATCTTTACCCAATATAGTCTGCCTTCATATTAGCATCAGGATCCAACAGCCTTGAGACTCCATATATCCACATCAGGCATGTATCATATAAATATGAATATATAGGAAACACAATAGTGTAATACCGCCAGAATCAATCTTATAATCAACTTTAAATAGGATGCTCACATTTCATCAGCTTAAAAAATGCTTAAAAGTACTCAGAAGTAGTTTACTGTTATCCAGGAAGTGCCCAGGGAAATCAGATGATCGTTTCCCTCATCCAAGATGGATGCCGGTCAACTTCCGGTTTCCGTGTGCGCGTTGACGTCACTTCCCCTTGATGCGTTTCGTCATCGACTTAATCATAAGGGACTGCACATAGTTTTTGAGGACTTATGATATAGCATTTTCTGTTTGTTGATCTTTGTACATCTTTTGGGGTGAAGGTGTTGATGGTGCTGTGGGGAATTGGATTTATTTATTAAGAGAGTGGTTTTGATTTTATTTTAGGTGCCTGTATGCCATAGCTGCATACAGTGGTCTCACATGATTCATATCTAATGCTCAGCCCAGTTCTAGGAGAGATCATAAGAGGAGCTTCCATTCTCCTCTGTGTATCTATGTACATCAGAAAAGGGAGCATGAACAGTGACCCTTGTGTCTAGACAGCGATGTTTGTTGCTGTCCTGGTCACATGATCCAAAACCCCCCCCCGGGAAAAAAAATTAATGATGATGCAGTAGGAAAATATAGATTTAATGTTGCATCCTTATATAAAATGAGCATACACATACATATTCGAACACACAGGCTTTTTTATAATTCAGCAACAGCATGGGTGGGTGGTGGAGCTACACATCCATCATAATCTTTCACTACCCCACCCACTGTGTATTTTGCTAGTTAGTGGGCATGGAGAAGGAGGGAGGATGTGGGCTCTCATTTATCATCTGTATGCCCACATGTATGATGGGTAACATGTGACCTGCACAACTCTGATCACAGGAAATGTCCTGTGTTGAAACACAGATAAAACAGAGCATGCTGGTTGCTTGCCAACGTTACGCTGTAGAATTGACAGCTGAATTGGGGACAGTGAAAGAAAGGGGGATCAGAGGCTGGCTTGACGAGGAGTATGACAAGGATGCATTACTGCATGTACAGCCAAATTTTATTCTTGTGGGTTTAGTGATACTTTAATAAAACCAATAACAGCTTGGCAAAGCCACCAATTCTTTTTGGCAAAAAGCCTCCAGGTCATCTAAATTGGTGAACTGTGTATTTGAGATCTCCCTAGCGTGGATTATTAAGGTTGTTATCAGGAGATTGTGATGGCCTCTGCAGAACCTTCTTTTTTTCAGCATCAGCCACTGAAGGGTCATCTTGGCCCTATGTCTTGGATGCCTTGTTGGAAAATCCAAGTGCGCACCATGTGCACTTTCCAAGCTGCTGAACGCAGACTTTCCTCCATTATATTATAATATGCTGCATTCATGTTTCCCTCAATTTTGACTGTATTCCCTGTGCAGTGTAGCTCGCATACCAGCAGGGATCCAGCGCCATGCTTAACAGTAGGGATGGTGTGCTTTTCTTTAATGGTTTTGTCTCCAAAGGGAACGTTTATTGTTGTGACTACAAAGTTCAGTTATGGTGTTATCCCTTCATATGATTCTGTTATAGAAGTTTTGAGGCTTTCTCTTGGTGCAGTTTTTACATATTGTAAGTGGTCTGTTTAGTGGCATCGGTGCAGCAAGAATAGCTAACATTTTACAACCTCTTCTAGGTAAACTAATGAGCATAACTGTATATCTGAATAATGGCTGCGATTGGCATTAGTTCTCAGTGATGTCTGTGAATGGAGTTAGATCTGAGTGGAGGCTCTGAAAGGCATAGGATCTGTGTGGTGGCTACAAATGTAATTAGTTCTGAGTGGTGGCTGCGTTTGGCATTAGTTCGGAGTGATGGCTGTGATCTGCGTTAGATCTAAGTGGTGAATGTAGATGGCATTAGATCAGGGTGGCGATTGTGAATAACGATTTGTTGGAGTGGTTGCCATCTTCTTTGTTTCAGTCTATTCTGATGAAGGTCTCTCAGGATTCCCTTCTCATTTATAGAACCATGTTCATCTTGCTGTGAGTTTGGTGGAGATATT